CCGCTTTTGCAACTCTTCCAGCTTCCTCCCCAAATTCCAGAGGGATGGTGTCATCTGTAAGCTCTCCATCCTCGACATGAACACTGAAGAAAAAAGGAAAAAAAAACCCACTTAGTGAGCAGAAACAGGTGTCACCTCTGAACAGGCCCTTATCCGACCTCCCAGTAAGCTCAGCGGTTGAACCACACTCTGTATGAGGTGAGCGTGACATTAAACAAAATAATAGGTTGTGTTAATGGCGACACGGTGCATGGATGGCAGTAAAATAAAAGGTTTAGCAGCCTCTTGTTGTGGCTCTCTGTTGACACAAAGGGCTGAGGTTGAAATCATCCGTGACATTGCTCCGGGTGGCGATGTGGACAGCATTAAAATGTAGAAGCGCTTCTAAAGGAGAATGACAAATAATATAGAAGGTAAAGTTTACTGGCATCAAGAGCAGGCTGGTGGGCCTGTGTGTGCACTATGTCACTATGTTTATATGCATGTTGTTAAGATGCTTCTGTGAGACCAGGTCCAGGGTGTTACTCTTCTCAGCAAAAAACTTTGATTACACAAAGGTTCATTTCGAAGAGCATAACAAAAGTATATGGAATCTGAGGTGTGCCATCAAAGAAATTTTCAATTAAAGTGAAATAATTAATGGATACATTTAAAAAAGCTATTGCAAATTGCAAAACAAATTAAATACTGATTGGCCACCAACATAACAGCTGGCCAATCAGAGCTCCTGCTGCTGCTCTTTGGGTTGGAATTCATTTAACCGAGGGGCGAGTGACACAAATTTAACTTCACAAAATGGAAACTATAAAATACAGAAAGCAAATGAATTGTGAGATAAAATTTGACAGGCATGTGAATTTAACTAATTAGCTTAATTAATAAAATGATTAACTGGCAAAATTTTTCCTTTACAATATTAATACATCATTTAAATGCAAATGTAATTTTTCTATTTATATTACCTTCTTTTAATGTATACGTTTTGTAATAGCTTATAATTTAACACTGTTAAGAGTGCACACTTTGGAATCTACAGCAGGCTTCATATAGATTTGTTATTAGTTTTGTTGAAGATTTTAAAATGCACAGCAGCGCCAACACTCATGTAGATAGGCATTACAGTATAAAAACCAATATTCATGAGCACAATGCTGCGATAAATGCTTTAATGCCAAAACACATTGGCCTGATGTTTACCGTTAATAAAGATAGATTTAATTGAGGTTAATTCTTGCACTGGAGAGCTGCCATTCTCGTCTTGCATGGATGTTTTTGGATCTCATTGTGCAGCTTTTGGCAGAGAACTGAACCAGACGAAGGTTACACGAAGAGGATCCCGTTAGAGGGGTTTTTTAAAAATTGGTAAGAGATCAGAGATTGGAAGAGTATTTTTTTCCATATTAAAAAAAAAGATTATCAGCAAATCTTTCAGCAAGGTAGTAGAACTTCAAGTACTCCAGTGGAAATCTTAATCAGAAACAGTCGAAGATTGTGGTTGTGTAATTCAAATGGAGCCAAGAGAAACAACTCCATAATTAAAGGAACTTCTACATGCAGACTCTGGACATTGCCCCCAAAAAATATGGTACGTACTGATTATTTTGTGGATCTACACTGAAAAAGAAAACAAAATCTGGTCGTTGATAACACGCAACAGGAACAATGTAATAAGTATTTAATTACATTGCACTACCTCACAGAGCAAAAAAGGAACTAAATTAATAAAACAAACAGCCTACAGCCCTTCATGTTACTCTGTATGGCTGTACTTCAGCACAGCGGGGCTTTGTGCCAAAACGTCAGCATTCTGACGGGCTCACAATTATGCCAATGGTCAGCTAGTATAATGTTTGCCATGTTGTTCACCATCTTACTGTAGTGTGTTAAACACAAAGTGCAACTGGGGCTGATGGGAAAGGTATTAGTTTAGTGGGTATTTGAAACTCCAAATATCATTATTATCTGTATAACTGAATCAACTTTTTAGTTGCAGCAGTTTCCTCGATTTACTGTTCATGTTAAAAGGACATCTTGGACTCCAACTGTGTGGCTAAATATTGTTGACAAAACGTGAAAGAAGCAAAGTGCAAAATCTGTTGGTGAAAATATTGTAGGTCAAACCACTTCAGACACACATAATAACAATATAACATTAACAAAATGAAAATAAACAACATACTATTCATTATCAGCACTTCTGTTAAGCACAGACCTGCCTGGTATTGGGCAAGACGATTGATTTTTGCCCAAAATGCAAAAGAGAAATCCATGTCTGATCCTAGTTGGCTATTTTGTCACCCTATGCGTGCCACACACCTCCGTGAAGCTAGGAGGCTCAGTCAGAACCTCAAACCAACCATTTGTATCCATACCAAACACACATCAAACACCAAGCATCTAAACTTACATCACAACATAAATCGCTCTATAATCACTGTACATGGCTGCATTTATTGCCATCCAGATATCTCTCATCAGAATCAGAAGGAGCTTTATTGCCAAGTAGTGTTTTACACATACGAGGAATTTGCTATTTAATATATAAATATGGAATGGAAGAACAACGTTGCAGATGTATACATGTGTATTATTCTGGGTCTGTGCCGTGCAGAAGTAACGCAACGGAAGAGAATATTGTGTACATATAAATATACTGACAACATAAAAATATACAACAAAGATCAACAACAATTATGTGCGATGTGCCAGGTCTGTGCCCGACACGAGATGAAACAGTATTGTGCAGAGACATTTGTATCGTTTGCAAGGGGGGAGTGTCAGTAGGGGACACGGGCCTTGTTAATGAGGCTAGCTGCAGACGGGAAGAAACTGTTTCTGTGGCGAGAGGTTTTGGTCCTGATGGACCGCAGCCTCCTGCCAGAGGGGAGAGTCTGAAACACTTTGTGTCCGGGGTAGGAGGGCTGCAACTGTACATCCTACACCGCAGTCCGACCACTCTAAAGAAAGCTCAGCTCCAGCTCTGATCAACTGTGTAACTCATATCACTCAAATCACAAAACTCAGTTATTAACCGAGTAATAACATTAGCGCACCAATTTACATTTACAGGTACAACCGCTGAGTTACTTTTGCCGGTTTCACTGTTTTCCGTCCAAAAATAACCATTTTCTGTGTGTGAAAATATCTCCCGGCCGCCATCTTGGTATTGCGCAATAGGTGAGCTCATAGGTTTCTTTCTCCCCTCAAAATGAATGAGAGAAGAAGTGTTGCTTTGGAACAGACAATCTTTATCGCCGTTTACTGGCTGACTCGTAGTAGCTACGCAGACATCCAATACATCAAACGATTTGTCTGCTCAATACGAAGAGAAAGAGCCTACTCACAGCTCTGTAGTCCTGTTCTCAAGTTAGAAGCTTGTAAAGCGTGGGAGTGCTTTTGGTCACAGGAATGTTGATCAATATATCAAGGTTTTGGAAGCTATGTTATTTGGAACATGGTTGTATGGACAGAAAGTTTTTTTTTTCCCAATAAAAGTGAACATATAAACAGTAAACATGGCCAAAACATTGACATTTGCCAGTGTAATAACTGTTATTATATATAAGATATTCAGTTGCATTAAAATCTACAGGATGATGGTTTTGATGCCAATATTGCTATTAAAATACACATTTTATACCAGGCGAGGATGAAAAAATATTTTCCTTTACTGCATCTCCATTTTCTTTTTAATAGAAAATAGATATGTTCATTCACAGTTGACACATATTCCTTAGCTTCTGACCTATCAAAGGAATTATGCATCTAGGCCTAATGGTTGAGGAGTTATTACTGAGTCATCTTGGGTATGTTATTTTAGGCATTTATTCCTGGAAATAGTTGTCTGTTTCCAAGAGGTTAAAGTCAAACTACAGTTACGGTGAGAAATTCTGGTTGTCACAAGAGGACACTCATTTTAAATTATGAGAAAACATTTGATGCTACAGTCCACAGTGTGAACTTACTTCTAATGTCCTCTAATGGGATATACCCAGGACCTTGCTTTTATATCTTTTGTGCTTTTATGTGTTCTTAATGAAAATTGACACCTCTCCTTTGGACAGCATGGCACATGTTATACTATGCAATATATGACATAAAGATGCATGCTAAGAGTCCTAAGAGATGAACCCTGGGTATACCTTTGTGTTTCACACACTGGCATGTCTTGCTTTAAACTAAAAAGGCACTGTGCGTGTTCCATATTTCAGCAGGATTTACCAATGGAGATAGAGGGCCGAGACAGCTGAGCCGGCATCCTGTGTTCTTGTAAATCCATGCTTGCGAGTGTAAAATGTCCTCACTAATGCAAACCCTGGTGTGTGTGTGAGGGCGTGTGGGCATGTGGGTTTCCTCAGTGCACCTTGACGGAAATGCTCTGAAGGTTATTGAGCGTCTATGGTTCAAAAGACTCAAATATACAGTGTTTTTAAAAGTACAAATGGAAACCCCTTCTGTAGTCTGTTTCTGACCACTGCATGTTGACTGTTGGCTGTTCTTAAACCTCAGTTTCGTCCAGCACATACTTGGCTTAAGTAGTGTTAGCGGTATTTGGTGAGGACGTCACCTTTGACCTTCAGAACAACAACAGTAGCAGAGAGCTGCTCAACAGATCCCCTGTGAGGGACAATGGGAATGTGGTTGGACTTCATAACAGGAAACACAATGGTGTTCAGGGAGATTACCTCAGTGTGTTCAACAGATCGGTTACACAGGGAGACACAGTTGTTGCAGAGAAGCCCAATGTTGGTTTCGGTTACATTTGTACATCAGCTGCTGCACAATTTCCCCACAGGAATTAATGGTGTTTCACATCGTAGGTTATCTCTTCTGTATTCGTCAACTTCTCTGACGGTCACAGAAGAAGAGGTGAGCAAGCAGACCTGACAGGTTTGACATTTGACAGCAGAATGAGTCCCTCCTGCTTAATTTAAAACTCATTTGATCCCTGTTGAAAGCCCGGGCAGAGGAAAGAAAAGGTAGGACAGGCAGAAGCAGGCGAGGTTGTAAACAGGATGGAACAGCCTTCCGTTTTATTCTAAATTTGATATGTACAGGAAAAGTGGCTGTTTACATTTCTTAATATATCATGTAAAAGTTTTCTGGAAAAAAACAAAACCAAAACTAAACCATTGCACATCCAAGCTTCCATTAGCTTCCAATTATTTTTTATACTTTAAAACACATCATTGTACAGCATGGTTGAAGGCAATGTCAAATGGGATACAAGTAGACTGATAACTGCTTGTAAGTGTTGGCTCTTGTAAATAAAATAAAATCAAAAAGGTTCAGGAAGGAGTACCTCAAAACACATTTTAATATGATGAAAAATGTTTTAAAAACACACTGTAGTTTGTGTGCTATAGTGTCTCTGTTAAACAAATCACATTGTGTCCCTAGTTGTGTAAAATATTATGATATTATCTCAGGCACTTATCAACACCGGACCCTGTAACTGGACAGCTGAACAGTAAAAGTCCATGACATGTAGAGCACAGGTCAAATACATCCTTCTAAATGCGCTAGACTGCATTTCCAGACACACTAGTGTTCACAGCAGGAAGTGCTGGCCACTACAACCAAACACTTTTTTGTACAAAAAACCATTCAGAGTGGAGTTTAACTTCACCTACACAGTTTGTATCTTATTTGGTAACGGGACACGTGGATTTAACAACACATTGGCAAGAGGCCATAGTCTGTTTGTGTTGTTACACCCATGTAACATACATAATGCAGAAGGGACATTTTCGTTAGCTTAAAACAGAGTAGTATCGTGAACTTTCCTCAGGTTAAAATACAGGTCTATACACTGGAATAATGCCATCGAAAAGGGCTTTTTTCTTCATCGTCTTACTTTTTCGTTCATCATTTATTACCCGTAGTAAGCCTGTATCTTTCCCCAGCAAGGGCCTTCATTAACCGACAGGAGATAATGTATATCATGCAGCTTCCCTCTGCATATGGAGAGTGTGGGGGAGTGAAGGGCAATTACGTGCTGCCTGTTTGTTTTCCACAGCTTGATGATTTTTTTTGTGCATTTCCCTTTTGTTTAAAGTTCGACCTCAGCTAGGTCTCATTTGTTCACATGCAGGCAGAGACAATCATTTCACAAACATTAGTGATGTCAAAGGAGGGTAGGTACAGACTAAGAGGATTGGTTGCCACCTACTGCAACAATTATAGCAGTGAGCTGGTGGGCTGCGGCAGGGATTTTTCTGCATGTGTCATCAACGCCCAAGGTCTTCTTTCCAACCCACAACTATAGCGGCTAGTTTGACTGATTAGTTCCTCCTCTCTGGATGAAAAAAAATAAATACAATTCAGCTGCTGTAGAGTTTGATTGGAATGAAAATGTAAATACTCTCAGGTCATAATGGAACAAGCCATTGGGCTAGCGTGATTCATAATCACAAATGTCACTGGTTTAAATGGTTTTTAACCCAAAATACAAAAAAACCCCAAAACAAAACCAAAACGATTTACCTCTAGTGCTATGTAGTCATGCAGCTAGTTTTGGTTAAATTTGTCCAGGTTTTCAGATTCTGTCTCCATCCAAATACAATGGAGGTAAATGCAATTTCATTTGTGGTCCTCACAGCCTTTGAAAAGTACGTTTAAAATAAATCAACATCTCCTCAGCAACATCTCTTACCAAAACAATGTCCTGCTTAAGGCCCAGTCAGACGAGCATGTCAGGAAAATCTATTCATGTCAACGGAATCGCCACAATCTGTAGATGTGCTCACTAGGCGAAGTAAATCTACATGAAACTTTAGGATCAAGTTCAACTTTAGGCAGGCAAATTCCACTGTTGACCATTAACAATCTGTCTCGACAGTACTGACCTTTGAGGAAATGGAAAGCTGCAGAGTCCAGAATGAAAGAAGCTATCACTAAATAGTTGAACTGCACCATCTGTTTTTGTATAATCCTCCTCTGGTGGTGTATAAACTGCTCCGCAAAAGACGCATGGTTAAAGAGGGTCGACGGTACAAATATGTATTAAAGAATAAACTATTTGAACTAACTGTCCTGTCCTGAGCTAATGAGTCTGCTGACTGACACATAGCGAACTCTATTGTGACCGTACATGTGTCTGACTAGTGGCACTTTCTAGTGTGACCAGGCCTTTACTGTGGATAATTCACAGACTGTGACATAGTGAGATGTTTTCATACAAGTTCTTTGGAAGAAAGTAGTTCAAAGAAACATTTCTGTGAATTCTGGAGAAGTGTCAGCTAAATGCTTAAATGGTAAAAATGCAGAAAGCAATTACAGTAATTGAAAGCAATTAACTCTGGAGGCCAATTTTGCCTTTTGTTAAAAACAGGAGAAAATCCCCAGCTAATCTCACGCTGGGAGGCTCATTGTCTCTTTATCCATCTACATTCTGGCTCTTTTTCTTTTGCTTTTATTCCTCTCTTTATGTCAGAAGCCGGGCCCTCTGTCGGTGCCTCTGGTGGCAGCGTTCTTTGGCTCTGGCAGGCAGCAGGTGGCTATTGATGAAAAATTCAGTGCAGAGCCTGACTCGGGAGACGAGGAGGAGGGTGGTAGTGGGTAGCAGGAGGAAGACTTACGGGAAGGGGAGCGGTGAAATGAGATGAGAGGAAGGTGGGAGATGAGCAAGGAGGGGAGTGGAAGAGGAGGATAAAGGTGGTGTTGAGGTAGAAGAAAGAAAGAAAGGTAATGAACAGAGAGACGACGAGAACAACGAGAGGATGGGCGCCAGAGCTCCAGACAGACAGGCAGGCGGGCCAGCGAATCAAGCCCAGGGCGGCGCAGGGGGGCCAGGCAAAGGATCAGAGCTGTCTTCCCTCTCTGCCTGGGTCTCCTCCACAGAGATAACACACGATATGAATCATTTATGAGGGGGGCTTTTTTATTAATAACTCACACACCGTGCCCTGCTTCTTTCATACACTTTGCCTTGTTTTCTCTGCTCCCCGGGGAGTGCTCGAGTGAGAGAGCTCGATCGCTGAGGAGAAAACACTGGAAGTAGAAAAAAAAAAAACAGATTGCAGAGAAACGCCAGCAGCGTCGGTAGGGGTTGAATGTTAACTTTAGTGAAGCGAAGAAAGGGTGATTTGTGACCGATGGGAAGAGTCATCCATGGGACATTTTGTAAAGTCACGGCACACTTGACTGTGAAACATGTACCTCTCCGCACACAAACCCACACAGAAACTTACGCCTCCCCCGGGGCTCAGAAGAACACCCACTCACTTGCCTGTCTGCCCATTTGATTGTCGGTCCGTGACAGTGCCAGAACTCGATGAATCAGAGTCCTGAACGACTGTGAACAAGCATCGTGTTTGTGAATGCAGAGAAGGCACTGAGTGTCTCGTGTTTGTAGGAGGGACTGAGTGACTACTGGTATAGGTCATCGGCACAGCGAGGGATTGAACACAAACACCCACATACTGAGTACACTTCACAACTGTTTACCTCTAGGATCATTGCTAAGCTATAAGACCTCTAAGGTTGTCCCTTTGTCAAGATTTGTAGCGTCCACTTTTGCGGTTTCTTTAAGGAAACCCCCTTTGCTCTTAAAACTTAAGTTCTCTGTTCCGCTCTTCATCCATCAGTCCAATAATACTCATCAAGAATAAAAAAGTCTTCCTTTCTCTGACCCCAATCTATTAAGCCTTGCTAACTGGGAAGGCGAAGGTGGCACATCGTGGCGGTACGGGCCCTTGGGGGAGGCTGGGTCCTTCAGGTGCATTGTGGAGTACCCCTCATAGCTGCTGTTACTGGTGCTCTCCTGCATTAACTTCCCTTTGGCTTCCTGCTCTCTGCGCCTCTGCTCCTGCCTCAGCAGCTCCTGGGCTTCCAGAAGGACTCTGGCGTTGACCCCAACGCCGCCCGGGTAGCCGTTCCTGGAGCCCTGGTAGCTGGAGTACCGGGGGTTGTCCTTTGCTGTCTGGAAGCCCTCGCCAGGTGGGTATGCCTTATCCCAGGAGTCCTGGGAGATGGAGCTGGGATTCTTCCTGGGTTGCCTGGTGCGGAGAGAGGAAACAGGACAGGAACATGTGGGATGTGGTTTGACTTTTGGTTTCATGATTCCTTAAACATAAACAGAAATGACAGAGTCATCATTTAAAGCCTATGCTTTCATAAGCATAGTCACTGCAAGTCTCAGCTAACATGCCATATATAGTTATTATCAGAATATGGTAGCCATAATTTGTCATGCTAGCAGTACAGTTCATGTTGTATTGAGCGTGTAAAGAGGGCACTGTTAATGTTCTAGGAATCGATATTGTAAAACATTAAAAAAAAGACATTTTGATGGGTTTTGTCGTTCTTTTTTAAATTTATATTTGGGAGTTAGGGCACTGAACTCACCTTCATTACTTTGTGATGAAAACAAAGTGTAGAGTGGTCAGACTGTGGGCTGCACCCAACTACCGTTTAATTCACTTATATTTGTTTTTATTACACTCACAAATGTGAAACTCGGAAAGTTATGCTTCATTAGCTTCTAAAGGTTCCCATTTTGCACAGTAACTATTAATGCACTTTCCCCCCCCCCACACAGATCTGTGTCATTGAGAAACTGGGATGCTCTCTCATTCTTTCTTTCTCAAACACTTTATTTCTTCATGACACACAACATCAACCCTCTGAGCCACATCTCGTGGCCTGGCATGGTGGCAAAAATATTGCCTGCAACAGAAATGTTTGTTCACATCCTACATATTACCTTTTAGGAGAGGGCCTTGCGTTAAGATGTTTGTTGAAAAAAGATTTTTCTGTCAGCTACGTGGTAGCCAACAGATCACATCGAATGGATAAGAGGCACCATTACAGCCTCACAAACTGCCTCAGGGCAAGCACCAGCCCACGGTAACAACATACAGAGATACCTAACCATGTCAAAGCCCCCTTTAAGCGCATTAGGCCCATTTCAAGACTGACATAAACAACCATTGGATCTGACAGACAGTAACAGCAAACCTTTCGCAGATGGAAAAATGAGGCGACCATTTTGCCCACAATGGATTCACCAAGGCTGATATTTGACACCTAACACAAGTGTCTTAAAGGCACAGTTAGTTATCATGCGTCTGGGGGGGCTGCCTCGCCCTTTACCAGAAAGATGTGGGGCGAAAAATCCAGATGTGTGACATCACCTCTCATTTCTGCTTGGCTAGCCTCTTTGTGGCAACCCTGCCTTTGTGTGTGTGTGTGTGTGAGTATGAGCCCATACGATATGCATGAGTGTCCCAAGCCCTACAGCTCCACCCATTTATCTTGAGGGCAAGGCAAAACCAGAGCAAAGAGAGAAGATGATGACACACCAAAGCATCAATGGGCTTTTGACTCTGAGCCATGCATAATTAGCAGGTTTATCAGCCAGCTGAGAAGAAATCGTATTATTCTTGTGTTTGGATTTGAGTAGGAAGGGGAGAAAAAAATCCTTAATGAGAATAGAAAAGACCTTTGTTTTTATTCAACAGAGATTGAATGAAATTGGGAATGGATACGCTTCTCGATCGGTGAGATAGGAGAATATAGCCCAGGTTTATTCTTGCACACGGTTGAGTGATTCCAATTTTCAGAGACAGGCGTCCCTGGCATCTGATTTCATTTCATATGTTGACAAAGAGGCCAAAGCCGGTCTGCCTCCCTGCTGAGAAATGCAAACCAGATTGCTCTCTCTGTCTGATGCCGTGCCAAAGGGGAGCTTGTACATGTGTGATAAATACAGAAAGATGTATACTGTTCTATATTCTGTGCATACACACGCCGAAGCATGACAGATGATAAAAAATAAATAAATAAATAGCGGGAAAGGTGACAGAGTGAGACTAAGAGAAAAGAGGGAGACTTTGTGAGAGGTTGTAGTGCAGGTTAGATAGACATGTGATTGTGACACATATGCATGCATGCAGACACAAGTGAGACCAAATGCCGCTGCAGCTGTTGTAGCCAGCCTTTAACCTCCCATAATGGCATTATTTTGGCTCTGAAATCAATGGTGCTCAATGGGCCCTTCATCCGCCGTCACCGTTTCAAATGGCAGCGGTTTATTTTTACTCACAGCTCCTTGTTTAGGGGAAGGGTCTCGCCCAGAAGGGAACTGACCTTTATCTAAAATGAAAGCTGTTTTTTAAGGAATGCGACCACCATTAATCACGTCTCCATTCACAATCCAGTCATGCTCTTATGAAGGATTTTGCCCTCCAAGTAAAACATTGGGCCCATATGCATCCCATCAAGGTGGTGATCTCCTAAACACCATATTTACTCTGTCTCAGCCTCTGACTTCACACGATGGTATGCTCTAAGTCAAACAATAGTTAAATGTTCTCAAGATACTACAGCAGGGTTTATCCAAACAGAACACTTTCTTAATGGAATTAATGGAGAAGTGCAGGGACAGGGCCACAGCATGTTGCCTCTGGCCGCTGGAGCGAGGCGGTAGTTCATTAATCTTTCAGCAAAGCTGCCTGCAATATTTATCAAGGAAGGGATTTATGTCAATAACAGTGGATTAGAGTAAGATGGTGAAGTAATAGAAGATAATGTATTTAATGTTGTATATGTACGGTAAGTTGATGATGTGCAGCAGCACACCTCTGCTTGGTTTGACCTTGCAGGGTGTTTGAGAGTTTGAGCGAGTGATTACAGCCTGCTTAGGGAAATATAATAACTTTATTTCCTCCTGGACAGTTCATGCCTGAACATTCTGGCGTTTGCGCATAAGTACTTAACATTTTGACAATTTTTAATGCAGGTTTTCCAGTTATAAGTGGATAATTTAATATATTTTTATGCTTTTCCAGGCAGCCATTGGTTTCCATTAATTTCTCTACAGTATAAGTCTATTGACTGAGTTGCTCCATCTATTCACAGTCAAGTTACAACATCAAGTCAAGTTAATATCATCTTTCCAGCTCACGTGCATCAAATTTTTTTTTGCTACTTAGAATCGAGGGCCTGTCAATACTACTGTTTTGTATGTATAGATTACAAACCCTGTGTAAATTCACATGACCTGACATTATTGTAGAAGAAGAAATTCCATTACCAATGGCAACCATGTTTGATTAAACCAAGTGATACGGTAACAAACAGTGAAGGTGGTAGTCCTGTCAATTTAATTGGTAAATTTTGAAAGACATCTTATTTGGCAGAACAAAATGGTATTTTGAGAGCATTCTAAACTGGACAAAAAAATATTTTGAAAGTTTAAACAAACGACACTTTTTGGTTTGGATTTTACTTTAACTTGATAATGAAGCGATTCTGATTTGAAATACAAAATTTTGTCTTTTAAACAACTTACAATATACGATTTCTGAAATGGTTTTGTATTATAAAGAATTCCAATATTTTAACTTGAGTGATCATTTTTTCCAACTCATTTCACACCACGGAGAGCAAGGTTTTGTCTATTGACTTCAAACGTCCAAATGAAATGTTCACTCTGAAGGCAGAAATTCAACGTTACAACTACCAAACCTAAACTAAAAAATAAACAAACAAACATTTTAAGCCCAAATGTAAGCAATGCCCACAAATATTCACTTTTAAAATAAAGAAAAATGTCCCCATGTCTCCAATAAGTCACTTCCTGTACCCGCTATCCCTCACCACACACACACACACACACACACACACACACACACACACCCTAGCACTTCCTGTAACAACAGGCAGTCATAGCATGCAGATCAAAGGGAATTACATTAACGGAGAGGAAAGCAATCATGTCAGATCTGTGTGAGAGGGTAATATGATCTGTCCATTTCAAAGCTGTGTGTGTGTGTGTGTGTGTGTGTGTGTGTGTGTGTAGGTCTGTGGGATGAAACTGGCCAGCTATAGACCCGTTTCTTATTCAGATGTTCTATATATAATCTGCTATCATTACTGTCACAAGGCCATTACATTGAATCTGACATAATCTGACAGGCATGTACGAGCACGCACGCACGCTCTTGATACATTATGGCACATTATATCAAATTACAAGTCTACAGAACACGCAGAGAACCTCCTGGACACGTTTCATATAAGACAAACAGCAGGAACACAAGAAGATTCAACATGTACTAACACACACACAATGTCTAACAAACACAACACAATCTCTTAGCACATGTATATTGTTAGACAGAAACACAACATTATATCAAGCCTGTCACACCCACATGCGCTCTCTCTCCGTCCATCACTCTTACCGTGGCAGGGAGCTGTACTGCCGCTGTGCCTGGGCGAACGAGTCTCTCTCCTCCTGTCTCTGCCTTTGCATCTGAACCTCGACCGACACCGAGTGGCGACCCGGTTGGCTGTACCCACCCGGACCATTGCTGCTGGTGTTTGACTGAAAACAGCAAGATGGCAGCTTGGTTAACTCTGATGTCCCCATTGTGATAATTACTACTCCATATATGTGTTTTTATTTGACAAGAATTCACACTTGATTGAAATCCCGCCCAATACAATGAGTAGAAATGAGCACATTGTGGACAGTGTTTAAATTTAATATTATTTTATTGATCTCAGACCATACATTTTTGTTTGTGACAGTTACTTTGCGTTGACACACCCAGAGTTAAATACATATTGATGAATTTTCTGTGTTCACTTAAATATTGAGGATGCTGAACTGTCTGCAGCGCTAATGCAAGATAGATGCATGAACGGGAGATGTTCTAACACTCTAACACAAGTTAGTGTAAATAATAAATAAATAAAAGATTATATTGTAAATTAAAATATTTTCATGTTTAAGGCTTTTTGGTTTCCACTCCAGCTATGGTAATTTTCATCCTGTATTTTTGCTTGGGGCACCTGTGGGTGATAAATATGTATCATCTATAAAAAATTTTTTTTGAAAAACTGATGTTTAAAAATAAAAGATTTTTACCCCAAAGCAATGAGACACTCAAATCTATCTCTTATGATGGGTTTAATCAAGCTCAGATATCATAATTAGGATGAATTCATTATGAATCAGGTACTGTATGAATAAAAGGCATTATGTCTGCTAGAACAAATGAAAATCTCGTATTTTTTTTCCTAATTAACAAATTCATGCAAAATTTTTACCCTCCTCGGATAACTGAAAATCAACACACTTGAAGTCACGGTTTCCACACAGTAGCCCATTAAAACTAGCAGCGGTCCCTGACACAGGACACCTCACAAAATCTCCCACTGCCCCCCGCCCCCCCAAGTCCAAACCACAGACACTTACCAGCATTTAGTTGGGCAGACACACCCTGAGCTCGTCTCTTCTCAGGTCAAAATGAAGGTGAGACACAGACAGACAGGAAGGGAAGTGAGGGAGGGGCCATGCTGGAGACTCAGAGCAGGGGTGCAGTGATGAGACGATGTGGAGGTTAGTGGGTGTTAATGAAGGAGATAACACTCGGTGTAGTGACACTGTGACAGTCCCCCCCCTTCCCTCGCCAAACAGCCTTGTACAGTAGATAATCACCTTCATGTTATTATGTCACATGTGCACACACAGTCGTGATGAGTGAAATGTACATTTGTAAATATCTGAAAGTTTGTAATGATTTTAAGGTGCAAAATATAATTTTAAAGGAATTATTCTTTTATTTTATGAATGTATATACAGGCATATGCACAAACACCCAGCCATTCATTAAAATATACTAATGCATCTCTTATTCCAACCCAAAGGGGTTTAGTATCCTTGAAACAAACTAGTTTGTACAATGTTTGCCCAACCATGTCTAAAGGCAAAGGTATTTATACCTGTTCCCAATAGCCGTCTTGGCCTCCCCCCGGCTGCATCCCATTTTCTACCTGATTGTTCTCTAAAAGCCGTATGTCCTCGCTCACTGTAGTATCACAGAATTTATTTTTCAAATGGGGATAATGGCACACACTTTCATATATTCTCTCTTTAAAGGCACACATGGTGTTGCACTTGGGTTTTACACACCGAAAAAGACGGAAGCAGCTGCCTGGGACAAACGTTCAAATCCTGCCTACTTCCGTAACCCTCTGTTCATGGCTAATTGCTGGGCAAAGTAGGTGTGATTCAGTTTTAAAAACTGTTGGAAGCTACTCCTCCCCGCCACATTAAGAAGTTGGAAAGGTGTGGGACGAGGGGCATTCTGACACTATGTGCCTGACATAAGCCCTCACCTTTTACCTTAACCTAAAGCTAACTGTAACCCAAACAGAGCCGAACAAAATGTCTTCACTGTCAAGTTCTAAAAACTGGTCCTCACAAAGATGGATGATGTACGAGAGTGCACATCCACACATAGAGCATACACTAATATCGCTCTCAGCAGCAGAGCACCACCTCAAGGTCCAGCCCACGCTTGTACCACAACTCCTTCAGCTCCTCCAATGTTCATTAGTGGTGTGGGTTCAATAATTGTGTCGTAACACAAAGGCAATCTAATTACTTTTATGGCTGTGCAATGTATTCAGAGCCTGGCGGGATCACTGTGGACATCAGTTGGTGGGAAGGCCATAAAACGATTAAGAGTGCTAAAAAGACACTCCCCTTTAAACCAAATGAAGCCGAGGGCAATCATCTCTGGAATTGATTGGCATTGCCTCAGTGCTCAGTCGACCACAAGGATAGGCTGGCATACAGCTGAGAGGGAGGGTGAGTACCCACACAACTATATTGCATAGCTGAATTGAAAATTACCCGTGAGTAAATTACAGTCCCAATATTTTTCACATGAGAAAGAAATCCCCTTAGCAGTTTAGGATTGTTGAATATTCCTACAGTAGGAATATATTGGCTCATCTGCCTCAACACAGTGACTGTAGAGGGGAGGGGGAAAACACCCTACAGGAATCCAGATAATAGCAGTATTAAAATGTTGCAGTAAAATACAAGAGGAAATATTATGCCCTCTCTAAACCCCCAGCATCAAGTGAATGAACTCCTCTTTTCCCCTAGTGGTATAAATGAGTGCAATAAAGCTGGCGCGGTGCTGCCGTGAGAGCCAGCATCAGTCATCCTGATGGAATTAGACCGTGCTACCCACAATCACCCCCCTGCTCCCCAAACTATGGTGAAAAAGAGGAGGGGGCTCCCATCGCAAACGGGAGATATTGTTGATATATGTTGGAGAACGTCATGTGCCTAAATAGGGACGGTTAAGAAAACAGCTTGTGTTTTTAATATCAAGTAAACTATTATCTTTTAGATCAGCTGATTTATAGTTTAGTAGTAGGGAGTCCGAGCCGGCGCCTTCACTTTGAGTTTTGGACTGTTGGTTGGACAAAACAAGTAAAGATATTTACAATGATGAACAATGACAACAGAAAGGTAACAAATCTCAGAATCTGGACCTAGGAAAAATACTTAAAACTTCTATCGATGTTAACTTCTCTATGGATCTATGAATGATTATCTGACTAACCATTTCAGCACAAAAATAGATATTTTCTTCTGCAAACCTACCTAAGATCTATTTGATCTGTTTGATTTATTTTTAGCATAACCATTTCCTGCCATATTAAAAACAGCATATAAATGTAAGCAGTACCTCATATGCAGCACTATCCTGGCATACACTGTAAGTGGGGCAGTTGTAGGTGAATTAAGGAAAAGGACACTGGCTCCTTGCACATCGCTCAGATGAAGCAACAAAATGTAATATATGCATGGGGGAGGTAATTGAATTTCAAAGGCACATTCTCCTGCTTTCCATACGGCCCACCAGTATGGCCAGGCCATGAGCCTAATAACAGGCAATTACTACAGCAAGCCTGAGCGTGAGATGCACTCTGACAAGGTAAAGGGCGTTAAAAAGATCATTTGAGGGTTCCTCAGACTGAGGGTTCCTGGAAGATCCCCCAGTTAAAGCAACAGAAAAGCTGGTTTGATATATGTATTTATTTATAGAATTAAATATTCAGTAGTACTTAATGTAAGAATTGAATGCTTAGTGAGATTTGCAAACTTACTTATTACTTTACTTATTCTTGCATTAGGCAGCTTTTCATTTCAATCCCAATTTTTTATTTAAGCAAAGTTCTTGTATGGCTGCGCATGCTTAGACAAATGTTATTATACTCCTCAAAGTAAGGTATTGTAAAACGTAATGTTTTGTATGGGTACCAAAACTCATTTATGTTACTATCGCACAGCACTAGTATAGAAAATTTTCATGTCCTATGTCAAAGATTTCTTGGCAACCAAGCAGAATAATCCAAAAAATGGATAGGTGGATAGTTCTGACCAGAGACTGCAGAAAATCTATGCTGAACCCCACTGCATACAGTAAGAGGCGGATTAGGAAAAGTTGTTTTCAGTAAATTTACACAAATTTGTATGAACAATCATTTTGTGAAGAACCCTTTAATGTTCAAAAGCTCTCTTTGGAATCCTTAACTTTCAGAGTGTGGTTTACCTAATACTGAGTTGACATGGGAAAATGAGACTTGTGACAATAGTGAATGTGCTGCAGTTGATGTAAGCAAACATAATGCTGCAGTATTGTTGGGCTCTTTAATTGAGAGCATGCTCGGTTGTTTAGCGACAAAGGGAGAGGTGACCTGCGCACTTCTTTCCCACACTGTGCTGCTTTTGCTGTACAATGCCAGCTGGAATGTGCACCAGTCCTTCGAACCCATTAAGACTCATGACTCTGCCGAATGCAAAACAAAACCATACATTTTTATTGGATTTATCAGCTAGAAAAAGGCCAGAGCATACAATATGTGGTTCGTAAGCTGTAACTTTATCATTTAATTTATTAATCATAGGACCAAATTCTCTCATTGCATACCAGAGATGGGGCAAAGCTACAGTGGGACATTGTAGTGTAGACACCAGCAGTAAAAAGAGTTCATATAGAAATATACAAAAACACAGTTGTGTGTGGAAAATGACCTTGTATAGAAACAACCAACAAGGAAAATTTATATAATTTGTTGTAAAGCACGCAATTTACATCACACCTAGTGTCTAGTTTGGGACAACACAAATTTGTGCTACTTATCACGAGCTTAAATTCATTACACTAACATGTAACATGTCATAATGTGTTTGTATTAGAATATGTTGTGATAGAATTTGTGTGAAATCAACAAAAATGTGTGCTGTCCCAGACTAGATAAAGGTATGTGGTGAAAATGACTCCTTTAGTGTGTAAAACAATAATATAATACACATAACACAGAGATGCTACCAATTAAAAAAAAGTAGTAAAATCTCGTCTTTAAAATTTTTCATTTGCTACAGCTGACTGTTCATATAATCATCATGATTTGTTATGTAAAATAATGTAAAACCAAGTGCACTTGAGTTTTGGTGCAAGGAAGCAGGGAGGACTAAAATAAATACTAAAAATATGACAAGCGATTTCATCACTCCAAAAAACTTTGAAGGCATTCAGATTTTGCTCGTTTATTATTACCCCATGTTGCTTCAGAATGCACTAATTATCCCCTCTTGTTAACCAGTGAAACTTTGGATTAAATAAATGTCACGTACACAACCTCACCTTTAAACTGTAAAAAGGCACAGTTAAAACAAAGGGTGTACAATGAGACCCCCCCCCGTACACAGAAACAACGTGAAGACAAACCCAAATCCATGAGGTGGCGGGCGGTTCCATGTGGGTGACACACAAAAACAGGAACAATGAGTAGATTGTGACAGGTGGGTGGGGTTAGTGATGGTTGGTTCAGGAGGTGTGCAAACTCCTGCATGCAGGTGGTTGAACATTTGAGGGTGAGGGGTGTTAGCATTAGCACAATTAGCCAGGAAGGCCCATGGAGGTTAATGGTAATCCTAAGGTGGGGACAGGGTGATATCATCAGTCTTGTTCATAGCTGGTAGTAGTGGGGTTAGTGATGGTTAGCACCATACTCCAGTTAGCCACGGGTACTGTCGGGTGCTAACACTGTTAGCTCTTTCCTCAGGCTAGCATTTGAAGTTACATGTCCAGAGTCGTGGTCTGGTAGAGGTCGTTTCTTGACATGAACAGTCCTACAGTCTAACCATCTTCTCCGGCAGACAGGCTCCTGTCATTTCAGACACTCACCCACGGCTGCTCGAAGCTGTAGGTCCTCCTACGGTCGTCCGGGTCGTCAGGGACGTTCTGGGACTGCTGGAACTCCTGCCTCAGCCTCTGTATCCGGTCGTGGTTGCTAGGGGCTAGCCGGTTACTGGGGAGTGAGGAGAGAACGGGGGGGGGAGGGGGGGAAGATGGATGAGTGTGAGAGGTCCATTGTGAACAAGTGACCTAGTTCTATCAGTGCAGGGGGAAATGGCCCGCAGGATGAAGTTCTTTAAAGTCCAGCGTGCTTTGTCTATGAACTGATCAAATGCGTTGTTGACACTGGAAAAGCAACCCAGATACATTCAACCCAGATAAAACATAAAACATTATAAGTGAGGGCAGAGCCAAGAGCGGGCTTACAGCGGAGCCAACAGCAATATGAATCAAACTAATGTGCCTCTGATGTATTATTCATAACAACGAACAAAGACTAGTGATGAACGGTGAGCAGTACCACAAGAGCAGTACCACAAGAGCCCCCCCCATTGCAGCACCGCAGCGCTCACATCAAACAACCCACCCTTCAGTGTAACTTACTCATGGTACACTGAACAAATGCTGGTCACTCACAACTATTTGCTTAACGACTGTAACTTTATTAGATGTTACGGAGTCTAAAAGGTTTAGTGATTAAATATGAAAAGTTTTAGACTTACAACCAGCTGTCAAGCATGTAGAGTGAGGGTTTGTAGGTTGTCAGGTCCTGTTGGCAACTTGAATTTTATTTAATGTAGCTTTTTCCAAATATTGAATGTTTTTTTCCTTGTCGTTTAAACATTCATAAGGATGTTGATTTACTGATAGTTGGGTTTTCTTTTTCTGTATATGAAAAATATTTCAGGTATTCCAACGGTAAAAAAAAATGCAAAACCTAGGTGGTAATCAGAGGTCCTGCAGGTTCATAGAAATCTCGTCATCTCAGTAACGGTAATAGTTGCAACATCTGTAATATTTGCTATCTCTTCCTGTAGTTTATTGTTTTAGTTTTGAGAATGTTGAGACATTTTAGACTTAGTCGAGAGTCAAACTTAACTGAACACGGGCATTAAAATGACTCATCGCTGCATTTCTGCAAACGGAGTTGGGGATTTGGTCAGAATCCACAATGATGAGAAGTACACGCAGATACTTGATCATGCAGTACCATTAGGGAGGCATCTGACTGCCCTACACCCCAAACATACAGCGAAAGTCATTAAGAACTATCTTCAGAGTAAAGAAGAACAAGGAGTCCGGGAAGTGATGGTATGGCCCCCACAGAGCCCCGATCGTAACATCATTGAGTGTCTGGGATTACATGAACAGAGATAAGCAACCGACGCTGCATGAATCCACAGAAGGCATGTGGTTAGGTCTTCACAATGTTTGGGCCAACCTGCCTGCCGAGTTCCTTCAAAAACATTGGTCAAGTATACCTAGAAGAAATGATGCTGTGTGGAAGGCAAAGGGTGGTCACACCAAATATTAATCTGATTGAGGTTTTTCTTCTGCTCACTCAGTTTGCATTTTGTTAATTGATAACTATAATCTATTAATATGTCTATTTGAAAGCATTCTTACTTTACAGCATTTTTTCCACACCTGCCTAAAACTCTTGCACAGTTCTGTATGTGGAAATGAGAAGACAGGTTAGTGTGAAATATATATGGCCTCCAACAGAGGAAAGTAATTAACACATTTTCCTTCTCAAGCAGGTAATAGAGGCGTCAGGGTCGGTGAATGAAGGACCAGCAGGGCAACGTTGACTCAGATGTTGACTTTTCAACTTTCTAACTGCCAGGAAATTCCTGGGGACGGTCTTATCTCTAAAACTCAAAAAAAGGTCAAACCTGCAACTCTTTCCAGTCCCAAAGCTACCCTCAGTTTGGTTCTGAAAACCTTTTTCTGCTTACATGGGAAAACTTTAAGGTCAGCATAAAAATTCAGAATTGTATTTGTTGAGGGATATGATAAAAAACACATATATACACACACACACACACACACAAAAACTCAATCTCAAAATTCAATCGGGACAAAATGAAACAAATCCTGTCCACATTAGCTAGGTTATGATGGTAACTGCACTGTCAAAGCAAACTGGAATACCACTTTATCTTTATGGAGGTCAAAGCATGACCATCTAGGCATAATATTACTGCAGTAACTGCCTAAATTCATTTCATCCATCCCAAAACAACCAGGTAGTTGGTTTATAAAGCTAGAACATAAAACACAGCAGCAGCACCAGCTTAGCCAGCTATTAACTCCAGACGCACACACACAATGGAAAAGCCAGAGCCAGTCAGCCTTATTAAAGACCAGGAACCTGTCATATGTGATCCTGCTAATCTCAATGATATGTAACACAGCCGCCCGGCCTCTTTACAACACAGCTGCCCTGATAGGCGGTTTACGTGGGACCCTCTAGCTATGGGTCAAGGCCTCAATGCCAGCTTCAGCAGAAAGGCTCATAACTGATAGAGGGTAAGCTGTAAACATGTGTGTGCACTACCAGAAAAAGTGGAAAATCAGAAAGGCAAGAATTTCTTTCTCAGTTTGTGATGAATCAAAGAAGTCCACAGTATGAAGAAGTGATTCAGTCTGAATTCAAGTGCAATGTTTGCAAGATGAAAGATGTTCCCTCTCCTGAGATGGTCGCTCAACCCTCTAATCAGAAGTATATCTTCATTAAGGCAACCTATGGACCCATCCTATATACTAGAATCCTGCCCAAGAGACTGAAGAGAAGAGAAAATCAAATAACAGGATCAAAGATCTCCAATCCTCTAGTCTGACAAAACACTGTAAAGAAAGAGCAACAGGGCAATACAACTGTACCGCCCAAAACCCCCAGAGACAGGGAAGAACAGCGGGCTAAGATTTAGTCTGAGATGAGCTTCATCCTCTGGACAGGCTCACTCAATATCTGGCACTGCTGTATGAGGCTGAAAGGTCACTGTGTGGCTTTGTTGAGTGCAGTGTCTCTGGGACTCAATAACAGGACTGTGGCTTGCTGACTGGGCTTGCCAGTAAAAGTGTTTACGCTGAGAAGCTCCCTGCATGTCATGGTTGGGCGTGCCTCCTGAAAAGCTGTCTGTCTCGGTCTTAAGCCTGGGAAGGAGGGAGCTTTAAAAAGATGTAATGTCTGCATTGTGGACAGACATTGACTGCACTGCTATACTATGTTCTTATACAGCATGGTAAAAAAACAATCAAAAAAACAAATTAAGACTGTATACGCTCTTCCAAATAAATTTGCCTAATCTGAAGTGCTGTTTAAAACGTGTCATCATCTGGTCACTTTTTCTTCTTGCCCTGCTGGACTTCTTTTCAGTGAAGTTGCCATGATCCTACATTTCAGTAATCAACTTGGCAACAATTGCTGCTTTCATACAGAGATCCCGCAATAAACACGGATAGAATATCCGTCAATATGCCGCATTCGCTCATTCAAATTAAACCAACATTTTGGCACAATCCTCCCAGAAAATAAGGCAGTGTGAAAGAGCTTAATGTTACTATTAATGATAAGACTGATGGACAGAAATAAGAATTTGAGACATACGGTTGTAATAAACAGGAATTATCCTTTAAACCTGGAAGGAGGGTGCTTTGTAGGATTTGAAAAGAGACTTTGATCTCAGAACCCCAAAGCAACAATAAGTTCCAAAGACACATGGTAAAACACACAGATTTAAAAAACAAAAAAAACAAAACTTTGAGAGCAAGATCGAAGCAATTAAAGACAGCCACTTAAAGTCCTTGCTTCACATGGCACAGAAGAGGAAGTGGTCCAAATTGGGCCTAACTCCAAACTAATAGGATTTATCAGATCTGTGTTGTCACATCAAAATCCCCTATGACATGGACGCTGCTTCCAAGTACCCCAATCAAAGCATGCCAACAGATAGAGGGAAGGCCTCTATGGGCCGTGCACAGTAAGTGGCAGAGGCAGCTGATGGACAGAGTTCTAATCCTGTGGATTATAAGTGAATGGCCTCATTCACACCGGCTGCTCTTCCCATGCATATAGGGACCTCCTTCAGACCTACCACCAACTGTACACAGGCATAAATTAAAGATCCACTCACTTAGAGGACTTGGTGACTTTTAGTGGATCAATATGCCCTTGAAATGAATGCAGAGCTGTGAGTGTCTGCATGATTTTGAGCAGTAAAATCCGAACAGCTGTATTCGACCTTTTAATAGCCACCAGCTGGCCCAAAGATCTGAGCATGTACAGCGAAGTGAAGTGCTGAGGCCTACATGGTGGAGAGATTCAAGTGGATCTTGTGTCTGTACTGTGACGAGGGCCCTCGTAGCAAGTGATTACAAGTGGGGTGACCTTGAGAATACAAGAGCAGCATTGTTGGTTCACACTTCAAAGTCACAGATGAAAGCGTCACCCCAAGTATGCAGCATACATGCAGCACTGTGTGAAGGACTACCAGCCAAGTCAGTGTTTCTTAAATCTTATGAGCATCTTTTGCCCCAGTGCAAATTAACAGTTGCTGATTCACATAAAATCACACCTCGCTCTTCATACATGGATTGTATTCTGTGATATCCTATCTATTTCATTTTCCAATAATCCTTAATTCACAATAATCAACTTTTTAATTAAAAGCCACCATCTTCATTAAACATTTAATTAAAGCATGGGTAATCATGGGATTCCCATCTTGAATGTGACTGTAGTACTGACTAGCTTGCCAGCCTGTTAAATAAACATATACTGATGTAGCGATACACATAGTAAGAAAACAGTGCATGTCGTGAATACGTGTCCCCCCTGAACGCCGCAGCTGTGGCGGTTAGTTTCTGTAATCTTATCAGATGGGGGAAACTAGGGCCTACATCCTCTGACAAAGAGAGAGCAGCCGGTGGAGCCTTTCTCTGCTGTGAAAAATGAACTGAGATGCGGAAGATGATAATCCAGGTCTATTGATCGAAGGCTCACAGACAACTAGGAGGGAGACTGATGCCCTTGCTAACTGGTGCTAGCGGCTAACACTCCATCTGCGAGCAGTTGTATGGCAGAGACTCCCTGTCATCTACTGCAACAAAGCTGCAAAGATTGGCCTGCTTCCTCAAGCAATCACACACTTACACTAGATCTTGGTA